GATCTTGAGCTTCAAGGGCTTTGTGATGAGAAATCAATGAGAAATGGGAGGGCAAATTTTGGGGTACAACAGTAGGGATGTCGTCTTTGAAGAAGATAAGGCTTGGAATTGGCACACCAATTCTGAATCTTCACAGTTTAAGGGAGGATGTTGAGGACAAAAGTTAACACGTATTACTAGTTGTTAGTGGGTTTAGTGGGTGGTTTCTTTGATGTTAATAAAAGACCTATTCAATTGGTCTGTTAGCTTTATTTTCCTTTAAGTTAGCTTTCATTCCATATTTGTAGGAGTAGTGGTTACGTGGTATTTTTCCTCTTCCTGTAACTGATGTAAGGCTATATAATAGCCATTACTTCTCAACAATAAGATCAATCTTCTTTGCTTCAAACCTTATTCCATATATGTATCTTGTTTCTTAACATAAACTGCAACTTCTCATTTTAACTTCTGGTTTGCAGTTTACTTCAATTTCATAGCAAACACCAAGAGACTTTCGCAACTTCAAGAATACTCCCAGCTTCAATGGTTTGGTCATAAGATTTGCTAATTGTTCTTGACTAGCACAATAAATCAAACTTACAATTCCTTCTTTGGACATCTCGCGAAGAAAATGAAATCTGACATCAATATGTTTACTGCGGCCATGCAAAACTGGGTTTTTAGACAGCTTAATAGTAGAACTGTTGTCGCAGTTAACCGATATGCCTTTACTCTCAGAAATCTGATTTAAATTTGATAGTATCCTTTGTAACCACACTGCTTGACAAGCACAAGAAGCAGCAGCTATAAATTCAGCTTCTGTGGTGGATAAGCTAACCACAGGTTGTTTCTTTGAGCACCATGAAACTGCTCCAGAGCTAAGCATGAAAACATAGCCGGAAGTGCTTTTCCGATCATCTACGTCACCTGCATAATCGCTGTCTGTGTATGCCACAAGTTCATTTACTCCACCCTTTTTGTAAAGAATTCCAAAATCAGCAGTTCCCTTTAAATAGCGTAATACCCGTTTTGCTACCAACATATGTTTCACCGAAGGATTCTCCATGTAACGGCTAAGGAGACTGACAACGTATGACAAATCAGGCCGTGTAGCAGTTGTTAGATACATGAGGCATCCAATAAGTTGCTTATAATGTGACTTGTTCACCCTCTCATCACTGCCAATTTCTTTTGTGGTCTTCATTCCTGGTACTATAGGATTTTGCACAGAATTCGAGTCATTCATGCCAAAGCGTTTTAATACCTCCAAAGCATATTTCTTTTGAGATATAAAAATACTGTTGTGCAATTGCAGAATTTCAATACCAAGGAAATATCGCATCTTACCGAGATCTGTCATATCAAATTCTTGCTTCATAGAACTCATAAAAGAAGTGAACATTAAAGGATCATTACCGGTATAGATGAGATCATCAACATACATACTCACAATTAAGATCTTGCCTCCCTGGTCTGTTTTGATGAATAGAGTGTGTTCATAATCACACTTTTTAAATCCCATCTTCAGAAAATGTGTCTCTATCCGACTATACCATGCTCGCGGGGCCTGCTTCAGGCCATAAAGAGCTTTCTTTAGTCGGTATACCTTGTCTTCATTCCCCTTCTTGACATATCCACACGGTTGTTCCACAAACACCTCTTCTGCTAGTTCGCCATACAAAAATGCTGACTTGACATCAAGTTGGTAGAGAGGCCAACTGTAATGTGCTGCAGATGCTAGAATTAGACGAATGGTTTCCATTCGTGCTACAGGAGCGAACACTTCATTATAGTCGATGCCGTGTTGCTGTGTATACCCTTTTGCTACTAATCGGGCCTTGTATTTGTCAATCTGACCAACTTCATTGTACTTGGTCTTGTAAATCCACTTGAGACCAACAATCTTTCCACCACTAGGCAAATCTACCAATTCCCACGTATTATTCCTTTTTATGGATTCCATTTCAGTATCCATTGCCTGCTGCCATTTGACACTTTTAACAGCCTCTTCAAAAGAAGTAGGATCACCATCACACGTAAACAAGGCTAAGTTAGAGAAAGAATCAACAAGTTCTTCATTGGAAAGATCTTCACCAGTAACATAATCATTCATCCAATATGGTTGTCGGCGGTCTCGTACTGGATAACGTGTTGATGCATCAACTGGGGCTGATGTATGATGCTCAGGCTCATCATGGTCAGCGACTTGATCAGCATTTTCAGCCTCAGGTATTTCAGAACTGCTGCTGCCAACATCTTTCTCTTCTTCCCACTCTAACTCATACGCCGTGGAAGATTCAGAATTGGTGTGCCAATTCCAAGCCTTATCTTCTTCAAAGACGATATCCCTACTAATGATGATTCGTTTGGAAACTGGATCATATAGTCGGTATGCTTTGGATACATCACTGACGCCAAGTAAAACACAAGGAAAACTCTTGTTATCGAGTTTGGTTCGCTTAGCATCAGGAACATGAACATGGCCAATGCAACCAAAAACCCGAAAATACTCAACTGAAGGTTTGATGCCACTCCAGGCTTCTTCCGGGGTTTTATTTCTTACAGCAAGAGTAGGACTGCGATTTAAGATGTGCACAGTCCAATTGACAGCTTCCGGCCAAAAAGTGCGAGGAATTTGTTTGTTGGACAGCATGCTTCGAGTAAGATTCATTATAGTTCGATTCTTTCTTTCAGCAATGCCGTTCTGTTGTGGAGAATATGCGGCTGTCAATTGGTGTTGGATACCATGCTCTGCACAATGTTGCATGAATTCGTGAGAAGTAAACTCTCCTCCTCGATCTGTGCGTAGGCCTTTGACAGCATGACTAGTTTGTTTCTCAATGTGAATCTGGAAACTTTTGAAAACACCTAGAGCTTCTGATTTTGCAGTCAAGAAATAAACCCATGTTTTGCGGCTGAAATCATCGGTTAAAGTGAGAAAATACCTTTTTCCACTGTTGGATTCTGGTTTAATTGGCCCACAAATGTCAGCGTGAATCAATTGTAGAATGTGATCTGCTCTCCATGTACTATGTGATGGGAAAGACTCTCTATGTTGCTTCCCAACCAAACAATCTTTGCATGTCTTTGTTGAATACTTCAAGTGGGGCAGTGCAGTCACCATCTTTTTCTGAACAAGAGTTTGGAGTCCCTTGAAACCGAAATGTCCGTACCGACAATGCCAAAGATACCATTCATCCTCAGCAACAGTGTTAAAACATGTAGAAGACTTAGGTTGAGCCACGACATTTAGAATAAACATTCGATTGGCAGCCATCTTTGTTTCCATGAGGAGACCTATTTCAGGATGAAATACTTTGCATTTTCCACCTTCAAACATGATAGTTAGGTTTTTGGCTTGCAGTTGTCCAATGCTTAGTAAGTTGTTCTTCAATTCAGGCACAAAGAAAACTCCAGTAATGATATGCACCCTACCATTTACTTGCAACCTTATATTGCCCATGCCCAGTACAGCCATAGAAGTATTGTTCCCCAATTTAACCGAGTCACGATAATTTTCATCAAGATCAGAGAAAGATGATTTCATACCACACATGTGATTGCTGCATCCTGAATCAAGGAACCATTGATTTTCATAAGAGTGTTACTTTTGGAGGTCGGGGACGTGGTCGTGGAGCTCGAGGTAGAGGTCGTGGTAGACAAAGTCGTGATCGATCAACCGTAGAATGCTACAAATGCCACAAGCTGGGACATTTCCAATGGGAATGTTTATCCAAGGAGAATGAGGCTCATTATGCTGAAAGTCAAGAAGAATTGCTACTCATGGCGCAGGTTGATATTACAACACACTCTTATGAAAATCAATGGTTCCTTGATTCAGGATGCAGCAATCACATGTGTGGTATGAAATCATCTTTCTCTGATCTTGATGAAAATTATCGTGACTCGGTTAAATTGGGGAACAATACTTCTATGGCTGTACTGGGCATGGGCAATATAAGGTTGCAAGTAAATGGTAGGGTGCATATCATTACTGGAGTTTTCTTTGTGCCTGAATTGAAGAACAACTTACTAAGCATTGGACAACTGCAAGCCAAAAACCTAACTATCATGTTTGAAGGTGGAAAATGCAAAGTATTTCATCCTGAAATAGGTCTCCTCATGGAAACAAAGATGGCTGCCAATCGAATGTTTATTCTAAATGCCGTGGCTCAACCTAAGTCTTCTACATGTTTTAACACTGTTGCTGAGGATGAACTGTTGATTTTGGAATTCTTTACAAAAAGAGTGGAGTAAATGAACTTGTGGCATACACAGACAGCGATTATGCAGGTGACGTAGATGATCGGAAAAGCACTTCCGACTATGTTTTCATGCTTAGCTCTGGAGCAGTTTCATGGTGCTCAAAGAAACAACATGTGGTTAGCTTATCCACCACAGAAGCTGAATTTATAGCTGCTGCTTCTTATGCTTGTCAAGCAGTGTGGTTACAAAGGATACTATCAAATTTAAATCAGATTTCTGAGAGTAAAGGCATATCGGTTAACTGCGACAACAGTTCTACTATTAAGCTGTCTAAAAACCCAGTTTTGCATGGCCGCAGTAAACATATTGATGTCAGATTTCATTTTCTTCGCGAGATGTCCAAAGAAGGAATTGTAAGTTTGATTTATTGTGCTAGTCAAGAACAATTAGCAGATCTTATGACCAAACCATTGAAGCTGGGAGTATTCTTGAAGTTGCGAAAGTCTCTTGGTGTTTGCTCTGAAATTGAAGTAAACTGCAAACCAGAAGTTAAAATGAGAAGTTGCAGTTTAAGGGAGGATGTTGAGGACAGAAGTTAACACGTATTACTAGTTGTTAGTGGGTTTAGTGGGTGGTTTCTTTGATGTTAATAAAAGACCTATTCAATTGGTCTGTTAGCTTTATTTTCCTTTAAGTTAGCTTTCATTCCATATTTGTAGGAGTAGTGGTTACGTGGTATTTTTCCTCTTCCTGTAACTGATGTAAGGCTATATAATAGCCATTACTTCTCAACAATAAGATCAATCTTCTTTGCTTCAAACCTTATTCCATATATGTATCTTGTTTCTTAACAGTAAGAACTTGCCGTCAAACTTGGCATGTGGAGTATCATTATCCCAACCACTGCATGCATTTTTTAGTAGAAAAGGAAAATATATTAAAAATAATGTTACTGAAATCTAAATATCATTCTTGTGTTTTAAGATGAATGAATAATTACATAGCATCAGTTTGGTTGAATATAGAAGGACCAAATTCCAAGTAGAATTGTAAGATTTGTTTAGTAGTAAATAAAGGACGTGAAGTGTCATTAGGGTTAGGAGTAGTTAGCAATCCAGTAATGATTCCTCCTGTACTTGTTCCTGCTATCACATCAAAATAGTCTGCTAGTGCTGCCTTTTCATCTCTTGACACACTCTGATCAACCAAATCAAAATTATTCATTATATTATACTTCATGAATCTGTTTAATATTGAGTTTTAATCATAAGAAAAATTTAATGATTGACCTGAAGAGCATTTTCCAAGTACTCAAGAATAACAGTTGGAAGAATTCCCTTAATCCCACCTCCATCAATACTAAGAATGCTTACTGTATTTCCATAGGAAGGAGGTGGTAGCTTTGTATTCAATCCGCCAATCACTTGACTAGCAAAAACAAATACAAATAAAAGGAAAAAGTTATTAGCCATTATATTTTGCTTCAAAAGAGAACACTTCAATTTGAAGATCTTGCATTTTTCCATCCAAATGTGAAGGGTATTTATAGGTCCATCATCACCATATCTAAATAATTTTTAAATACAAATAATTTAAATGTGTTTCTTGTATTATTGGACGATGATATCATCCTCTATAAAAACAAATATTAATAATAATATAATAAATCTACTAGTTTGGCTTATCCACCCACTTTAAAAATAACTATAATTAACACCTTTTTATAATGGCAATATAATTAACATCTAATGCAGTATTCTCAAACAGATGTAGCCAGGAATATGCAAACAACATCTACATCTTAATGTAATACTAGTATTACATTATACACAATATCCCCTGCAATATATTATTTAGGTGAATTTTGATTTATTCCATGTAAGAAAAAAAATTAGATCATTTCTTTAAAATATTAAAATTTTATGTTTTTTTGTCCTCTAAGTGTAAAAATGACCACCATGTAAAAAAATTTTATTTACTCCAAATTTAGTGTTTAATTTATACACTTGGAGAGATAAACCAAATAATCAAATTAATTTGAGAGGGATAATCCAAGTTTTTATTTACAAAAAGATAAATCAAAATTCCCTTAATTAGAGTAGTACTAACCTTTATTTCGATTTAAATTTGAATAGTTGTTCTATACTGTTTCAATCTAAATTTGGGAGTAACTAAGGTAGCTAACAACTAAGGTAGATGCCATCACCCCAAAATAAATAAAATTAGTATTTATATTATTATTTCAATTTTATTGTATTTTTATGATGTTTTTTATCATTATTAGTTATTATTATTACTATTATTGTTATTATTAATTACTGAGAATTATTTATTAAATTAATTTTTTTAATAATAGGAAAAAAAGTTGAAAAAACAAAAGACAGTAGAGAAGTGAATAAAAAGTAAAAGTCTAAATTTTTTAAGGAGTGAAATAGAAGAACATGAAGGGATAGAGAGAAAAAGTAGAGAAACAAGAAAAACAAACATGTACTTTGAGAGAAAAACTCCTCACTATTAAAAATTTCACCGAATTCTTTTCTTTTCCAAAATCTTAAATTCACCAAAAGGTTGCAAAAGTTAATGTTCAAGGGAGTGTTGTTTCCATTGTTAGGATTTTGGCGGAGAAAAGTTTGCAAACTCAAGGTAAGGGAGATTATTTTATAATGGGGTATTTTATCGTTTAGGATAATAGAGTTTTTATTGAACTTCGAGTTCGGCCTTTGAAGTACAGTCTTCGGCACATGCTCCAATCAGACCTGCTAGCTCATGCCACATCTCAAAGATTTCATGGAGGTCCAAAGAACATGTCACTACTTCCCCCACATGCACGTCATGCCACTGCTCACGTGTGTGATGAAGAGGTAAAAATATTTATTTATGCTTTTAAATATTTTATTTATATTAACTATACTAATTGAACCATGTGATATTGTTGTATTAATTTTTATAATACCATCATAATTTAGTCTGAAATTCCATTTGTTTTGTGTTTTCGGTCATGAACCAAAAGAAAAATTGTTTTTTGAGTACACAATACTTGCATAAATCAATTTTGCAATTAAGATCGGCCTTCAATAGATTTCGCTTATGAAGTTTCATCATTACACACCGGTTGAGATGACCCAGACGCATATATCAGATTTTGGGTGTATCGTTATCAGACTTAATTGATGTAACATCACCTACAATAGTTTTTCTCAGCAATTTTTTAGATGTTAGACGCAGTTGTGAAGACAAACTTCTCTAACATTGTGTTTTGATGAAGACAACTTTAAAAGTTCTCAAAATTATGTGTGTTGTCAAAGAATGATAAAAGCTTCACAATCAAAGTTCTATGGCATCAAGACTTGTATCTCAATCAATTTTATCAAGATAGCTTTGGATCTTAACACTACGCCAAAAAAGACCTACGAAAGCGCTTTTTTTGGCCTTTAAAAGTGCTTTCTAAGGTGGCGCTGCTATAGGTTTTAGCAGCGCTTTTTGTTTAATGAAAAGCGCTTTCGTAGGTCTACTTATGACAGCGCTTTTTCTAAAAAGCGCTCTCTTAAGTACTCTTATGGCAGCGCTTTTTCTAAAAAGCGCTCTCTTAAGTAGGCTTTTGGCAGCGCTTTTTCAAAAAAGCGCTCTCTTAAGTAGGCTTTTGGCAGCGCTTTTTTATGAAGAAGCGCTTTCATTGGTGACGCTTTTTTCTGGAAAAGAGCTTTCATAGGTTGTCTTTTAGCAGCGCTTTTTCTTGGAAAAGCGCTGTCATATGTTTACCTTAGACAGCGCTTTATGTGAAAAAGCGCTGTCATAGGTCTACCTATGAAAGCGTTTATCTCCAAAAAGCGCTTTCATAGGGTGTTTTTTTTAGAGGTATAATTTATATAATTCATATACCTGCATTGTACATGCCATCACCCCAAAATAAATAAAATTAGTATTTATATTATTATTTCAATTTTATTGTATTTTTATGATGTTTTTTATCATTATTAGTTGTTATTATTATTACTATTATTGTTATTATTAATTACTGAGAATTATTTATTAAATTAATTTTTTTAATAATAGGAAAAAAAGTTGAAAAAACAAAAGACAGTAGAGAAGTGAATAAAAAGTAAAAGTCTAATTTTTTTAAGGAGTGAAATAGAAAAACATGAAGGGATAGAGAGAAAAAGTAGAGAAACAAGAAAAACAAACATGTACTTTGAGAGAAAAACTCCTCACTATTAAAAATTTCACCGAATTCTTTTCTTTTCCAAAATCTTAAATTCACCAAAAGGTTGCAAAAGTTAATGTTCAAGGGAGTGTTGTTTCCATTGTTAGGATTTTGAAGCAGCACATGCTCCAATCAGACCTGCTAGCTCATGCCACATCTCAAAGATTTTATGGAGGCCCAAAGAACATGTCACTACTTCCCCTACATGCAAGTCATGCCACTGCTCACGTGTGTGATGAAGAGCTAAAAAATAAATCAAGGTAAAAAAAAAAGCCATCAGTGTCAAATGGGTTTTTAAGTTAAAGCTTAAGCTAGATGGTTCAATTGGCAAGCACACAGCTAGACTAGTAGTTATAGGTTTTCTTCAGAAATCTGGGCTAGATTACTTTGAGGTGTTTGCGCCTGTAGTTAGGCATGAAACAATCAGATTGGTGATTGCTTTAGCTGCAAATAGAAATTGGCCTTTGATGCCTCTAGATGTGAAGTCTGCATTTCTGAACGGTCCACTACAGGAAGAAGTTTATGTGTTACAACCTCCTGGATTTGTGAAAATAAATCAGGAAGGGATGGTATACAAGTTGAATAAAGCTCTGTATGGACTGAAGCAAGCGCCCAGAGATTGGAATCTGAAAATTCATTTGTTTTTTAAGAAGCAGAAGTTTTAGAAATGTGAGATGGAATATGGCGTTTATGTGCAACACTCTGATTACAATAGGATTCTGGTGTGTCTCTATGTTGATGATATTTTGCTAACAGGAAGCTGCCCAGAAGATATAAAGAAGTTCAAATAAGTTCTGATGAATGAGTTCGAGATGACAGATCTAGGAAATATGACATATTTCCTAGGGATGGAGATTCTGTACTCAAAGAAGAGTATCTTTCTACATCAGTTGAAGTATGAACTTGAACTTCTGAAGAGATTTAAGCTGCAGAAATGTAAAGTTGTTGTGACACCATCAGAAACCAATCAAAAATTGGATTCTGACTCTGATGGTGATTCTGTTGATACTACAACCTTCAAACAGTTGGTTGATTCTCTAAGGTATTTATGCAATACTAGACCTGACATTTGTTATGCAGTTGGATTGTTAGCAGATTCATGAGTAATCTAAAGTGGTCTCATTTCCATGTTGCTGTCATAATTCTGAGATATATCAAGGGAACTCTGAAATATGGAGTGTTGTTTTCTTCTGAAAGAAAGACATAATCAGAATTAGTAAGTTATTCTGATTCTGACTGGTGTAGAGACAGAGTGGACAGGAGAAGTACTTCTGGATACTTGTTTAAATTTCTGGGAGGTCCCATTTCCTGGAGTTCCAAGAAACAGCTTGTCGTGGCTCTGTCAACATGTGAAGCTGAGTATATCGCAGGTGTTGTAGCTGCTTGTCAAGCTGTTTGGCTTCTAAATCTCTTGCATGATCTGAAGGTTGAAGTTGAGGAACCTCTGAAGCTGATGATTGATAATAAGTCTGCAATTGATCTTGCCAAGAATCCAGTGCTACATGGAAGAAGCAAGCACATTGAGACGAAATATCATTTTCTCAGAAGTCAAGTGCAGAAAGGAGTGTTAGAAGTTCTGCACTGCAGCACCCAGAAACAGTTAGCAGATCTTCTGACGAAGGCAATTAAGACAGACCAATTTCTTCGCTTGAGAGATGAAATTGATGTTGTTAGCTTCTGATAGAAAATCTAAATTAAGCACTACTAAAAAAATGACATTTGAGAAAAGGTTTTTACGCCAAGTATCAAAATATATGATGTAAAAAATAAAATTAAAACATTTTACATCAGGTATTTATTTGCAATGATATAAATAATGTGAAAAAATGTATTTTCTCTATCTTTTACATCGGTCCATTTAATCATCCGATGTAAAAGGTTTCGTGAAAAAAACACGGTGGAATTTTTGTAAATAATAAACCAGGTGGTAGAAATATTGTATATAAAAAACTGGCCAGATATTACATCGGGCCATCCTTTAAACCGGTGTAAAAAAGTAGCTTACATCGGTCTTTCTGAAAACCGATGTAAAAAGTCCTTGGCAGATTGTTAATATAAAAAATATATTAAAAAGCTTACATCGGGCCATCCTGAAAACCGATGTAAAAAGTAGCTTACATCGGTCTTTCTGAAAACCGATGTAAAAATTCGTTGGCAGATTGTTAATATAAAAAATATATTAAAAAGCTTACATCGGGCCATCCTGAAAACCGATGTAAAAAACATCAGTGCCAGAACCTTGCATCGACCCAAGGAATTCACCGATGTAAA